CTTAGAAGACAAATTGGTCTTCTCAAGGTAAGATAACCCTGTACAAGTGAGAACTTGGAGTCTCTACATTGAACAGTGATTTGATTGTTGGTATTTGGTACAGCTCATATTTAATTGGCAACAAAAATTGCTAGATTTTCCTTTTCCTTGCCTATTTACCAAATGCAACTAGCAAAGTACAAATATTTTATGGAGCTGCATAATTTCAGTTAGTCTCTCTTCATCCTAGAATGTTGCCAAAAAAAATTGTAGGGTGCTGTTATCAAGGAAGGGCAGGTGATAGGATATTTAGATCAGTTTGGTACTGAGCTTCCTGTGAAGGTGAGTTTGCTGTTTCAGTTCCATGATTGTCTGCCAGTCTGATTTCAGATAGATATATGATGACTTATTCTTGAATTATTGAGCAGTCTGATGTGGCTGGAGAGGTCCTAAAGCTTCTCGTAGATGATGGAGGTATGACATCTACAGTTACTGTACTATTTTTATGGGACCTTTTTGTTTGATCCTATCAGCAAATTTGTTGTGTTCTCATTGCAAAACCTAGGTAGGTTTGAGATACTTTCTCCACGGCATAGTTGTTGAATCGAGATTCCGAACTGTGAATCAGAGACTTAATTTATTAATCAAGAATCATGAATCACGAATCAAAAATCAAACCTTATGTCATTTATATATAATTTCTAAATAATTTTTTTTTTGAAAATTTAAATATTTTAAGAAATTTATACTAAGATATGAAAAATTATGAGCTACTTGTTTCCAAAAGAAAGTTTATGTAAATATTATATCTTATAATTAAACGAAAATAAGTCATCTAAATATTAGAGTAGAATACCATCACCCATAAAATTTAAATTATTTGTTACTGAATCGATACTAACAAACATATAGGTTACTATAAGCTGCAAAGGTGTTGGGGCTTTTATGTATTAGCCAGACAGATTTTTGAAAAATCTAATAATTTCTCCAGCTTATCCCAGTTCCCTCTTGTTCTTTGGCGTAAGTATTTGGTAGAAAATATATGTTTCTAAGTGCGACAATCTTAGTAATGGCTATAGACCATAAGAACATAAGCTTCAAGGAAAGATGGAAATTTATGCAGGCACCTAGGCTTCTGGTTGCACACATTGATTCTTCATTCTGTTTTATTTGGTAAGATGAGAAATTTTACCATCCATGTAGTATAGATTAGAGTAGAATGAGGCTGATGCATTCTTCTAGTTCCATGGGTGATGCAAATAATTAATTTGGGTCCATATCTATATACTAGTTTCCATTAATGGATGGATTGTTGAGCTTGACTAGGCGTGGGATTCTATCTCACTGTATTAACTTTTTTTTTTTGGTCTATAGATGCTGTTGGCTATGGGGATCCGCTCATTGCTGTCCTGCCATCCTTCCACGGCATCAAGTGAAGTGCCATAAAATCTAGCGTAGTTTTACAATTTGCAGCCAGAGTGTTGGAAGAGTTTCGAGATTCAGAATTTGTTTTCTCAGAGACCAACTTGTATTATTTTTTGGGCTTTGCTTCATACAATCTTTAGATGCAGGTGTAATTGATGACTGTACTTTGGCATTGCATCTCTAGATTAAGGAAATAATCAGTTTAAAAGGCTTAGGTGTTCTGGAGAAAAAGGTTTATGATTTTTGTTGGGTGACAATTTTGTATACCTGCCTATGAAAGCCGTAGTTTGTCGATTTGCGTAGGCAAATTTCATATAGAGGATGTTCTGAAGGCTTTCATTCCATTTTGCACCTCTATGTTCAAAACCCTAAATAAATAGATTTAGCATCCAAAACAGGATCTAATTATTGTAGTTAGAATCTATTTACATGTTCTAGTATAGGATGCCAAGTAGAATTTCGGCATGTTTAGTTAACAATATTAGTTTGTTCGTAATTTTTTTTTTTTTAATTTTAAAAGCATTGGTTTGGAAGAGACTAGGGATGATAAGGTGTGGATGACGGCAAGTTATCATCTTCCTTATGGGAAGATTTGTGGTGCTGCCTTAGGTGGCTTTTTTTTATAGTAGCTTACTAATATTATATGATAACTAATTAATACTATGAAATAACTTATCATAAAATAATACTAAAAAATTAAATATTATAAATATGATTACTAATAATTCATAACAAACTTATAAAATAATAAATTTTATATGCTTAGAGACATTCAAGATTTTGGTGATACAAATTTCGGCCACCAAAATTCCTATGGGGTGCTGGAAAGTGGGACCACTAAATTTTTGTCCTCGGCTTAGTCCGTATGAAATGCTCGGAACCAATCTTAATGTAATGTTGTACGTGTGGACGTATATCCGTCATGACAATTACCATTAAATACAAATTATAATCAACCAATAAAAAAATTCGTTGATTTTCAACGAACCAAAAGCCACGTCATTTCAGATTCTATGGATAAAATTATTGACACAAATTTTTTATAATTTATTTGATGATCCTCATATTTTTGGTTTTTGTCCAAATTGGATAAATTAATCTTTGTATTCTTCTTTTATTAACGGCGTTAAATCTGCTGTCAAGTATTGATTATTTTTGTAAAGTACTAAATCGTTATGTTTGCATAAAATCATTTGTAGTGCAGCTCTCTTCTCTCTTCTCTCTCTCTCTCTCTCTCTCTCTCTCTCTCTCTCTCTTTGTGGAGGTGCTGCCATGTAATGGAGCGGTTATAGCGTTCCAGACCTGGAAACAATATGAAGCCGCACCACCATGCGCCGGCGCTTTTAAATTCCAGTTCCGGACCAGCATGTCCATGCTCCACTCTCCATACCAAGAGCAACCATCCTTCAATTCGGCGCCGTTTTGGCCATCGGCACCCATTCCTTACCAACCACCAGCAACTCTCCTTGGGAAATTCCCGCCAATTCAATCTCTCCCTTAGCTCCCGCCGCTCTAATCTTCCCCGCTGCTCCGCCAATGTTGATTTCGATCAGAATCGAGCCGCTTGGACGCGCCGGGCCGTCCTGCTCGCTCCTCCGTTCCTAGCAACCGCCACGTGGTTGTTGGGGCCGGCGAGCTCCTCGGCGGATGGTGAGAGCTCCTTGACCCCAGTGGTGAATGTTCCAGTGAGTCCTCCGAAGGAGGAGGTAATTGCATCGAGAATCTATGACGCGACGGTGATTGGGGAGCCGATGGCGCTGGGGAAGGACAAGAGCAAGGTGTGGGATAAGCTGATGAATGCGCGAGTGGTTTACCTCGGCGAAGCCGAGCAGGTCCCAATCAAGGACGACAAGGAGCTTGAGCTGGAGATAGTCAGGAACTTGAGGAAACGATGCATTGAGAGTCAGAGGCGGCTTGCCTTGGCCATGGAGGCATTCCTTGTGATTTGCAACAGCTCCTCGATGAATACATGGAGAAAAAGTTTGCTTCTTCTTTCCTCTTTCTCCTTTTCTTGTTCTCTCATCAACTGATCTGTGTGTTTGCTTCTTTTTGCACCAATTTTTTCATTTGAATATGGACTGTGAAATTGTTATGTGTTTTGATTTTGAATCCAATGACTTTCTGCTTTGGCGTTTCAGATTTAAAAGTTTAAATTTAGTGTGTGAATAAATCAATGAGTGTGCTCGAGTTGAAACCTGCTTTTCTGGTTGGCAGGATAGATGGGGAAACCCTGAAGTCTTTCATGTCGCATTGGCCGACAGGACGCTGGGAGGAGTATGAGCCTCTCTTAAGTTATTGTCGTGATAATGCCGTCCGTCTTGTTGCTTGTGGTGCTCCACTCTCGGTCAGTGTCTAGGTCTGCTAGAGCCTTGGTGGTATTCCTACTCGTTGCTTTCATTGGACATCACTGTTACTTGTTGAAGCATGATGGTTATGGACTATGTAGCTTTTCTTAGTCTGGCTAGCTTATGAAGTGCTGATCCTAAGCTGCCATGTTTCTAAGATTAACATCCATCACATTGAGTTAAGGATGATTTTATTATATTGGTATCATTACTATGGATGTGGCACTGATTTGCTTGGCAACAAGGATTTTTTCCATGCCAGCATCATATATTTGAAGAAATAATTGCTTAATAAGGTTATACTTAAAAAAAAAAAATTATGGATTGGTTTTTCTATTTATATTACTAATACCCAAGAGAGGGATAGTACCTCGTTTCCTCAGTAGACAAGTTGGGAGCGCACCAAATCGAGTGGCCGCCCGATCTTAACATATGGTTAGATAAGGCAAGGAAATGCTCTATGATAGAATAGCTGATCTGTAGAAACTGCTGGTTAATTTCTTTCTTGAGCTAGGTGGAAGTTGGAAGAATTTTAACAGTATTAAATTTCGGCTGTTGTCTTCGACCTTTTTGTGTTATATCCCAGAGTATTTTAGTGCAAGCTGTACTGTCCTAGTAATCAGACTTTTATTTAGAAGCTTTAATCATAGGTGGCTTTTGCTCCATAAAGTGTTGACTTAATGATTTTGATATAGGTCGTGAGGACTGTCCAAGCAGAGGGTATTCATGGCCTCTCAAAGGCTGACCGCAAAGCATACACTCCTCCAGCTGGTTCGGGCTTCATCTCAGGCTTTACTTCTCTGTCACGCAGATCATCAATTGAACTGAATTCTCCTTCTCAGATTGTTCCATTTGGGCCAAGCTCATATTTATCTGTGCAAGCAAGGGTAGTTGAAGAATATACCATGTCCCAGATTATTTTGCAAACAGTGGCAGGTGGAGGAGCAAATGATATGTTAGTAGTGGTGACGGGTGCAAGCCATGTTGAATGTGGATCTAGAGGGACTGGTTTGCCCGCAAGAGTTTCAAACAAGATGCCAAAGAGAAACCAGGTTGTTATATTACTTGATCCCGAAAGACAAGACATACGAAGGGAGGGAGAAGTTCCTGTTGCTGATTTCTTGTGGTATTCTGCTGCCAGACCTTGCAGCCGAAATTGTTTCGACCGAGCTGAAATTGCTCGAGTAATGAATGCAGCAGGCAGAAGGCGAGATGCTCTACCTCAGGTCAGTTGCTCTCAATAGGTCTCATGAAATATGAAAGTAATCATCTCCATGTACATGATTTGCTATTACTTTTCTATGCTTGATTGCATAAGTTGGTTCCTTGGTTTCTAATATGGTCCCGGAGTTGGATAAAGTAGTTCTAGTTAAGACATGTATTTGGACACTTCCCCCTCTCTTCTCATGAAGAGTGAGGATTCAAACCTGCTCACACGTAGACTTCACTATTACCAAAAAAAAAAAAAGCAAATTTTGTGATTTGGGATGGATCCTTCAAATAATAACATTAATTTTATTAATTAATTTGTAAGATAATATTAATTTGTAAATAACTAGTTTGTAAGATAATATTAATTTTATTATGAAGTTTCTGTTAATTCATGAGAAATTTTGTGATTTGGATGAATCCTTCAAAGGGAAGTTTGAAGTTAACAGTTTGGATACTTCTATGGTTTAGTTGAGAATTAACAACTTCTAGGTACCTGTTCATGTTTTTGTCGTCAAGAGAACATCAAGCATATGCATAAAATGTTACTAACAATTATTAGTACTGCACATTGAGGATGATTCTTTCGTGTTCTTACAAAAGATTATACTGTAACATGCTTTCCAGGACCTTCAGAAAGGACTAGATCTCGGTTTAGTATCGCCTGAGGTACTGCAGAATTTCTTTGACCTGGAGAAATATCCTATTATTTCAGAGCTTACTCATCGCTTCCAGGTAAACTTTCTTGAAGAGATTCTTCTTCAGTATTCAAGATTTACAACAGTATATCATAATCTACAGCAAAGCTAACAGTAAGTACATAAGTAAGTCACAACCCGGCCGTGCACCTGTGCGCACCACCCACTGATGTAGTTTTCATTATCAGGAAGTCCCCTGAAAATGAACAAGCTTGCTATGCATATAATTTAGTCCTGGTTGCTTTTCAATGATAATGTTATTTCTCTAGATGGGGCCTTGTATATTTTGCCTGCTAAAAAACAGTCGACAGCAGGATAGGTAACATTGAATTTCGACCAGGTTGACCTTGGTTCATTATGATGCAGGGTTTCAGGGAAAGGTTGTTGGCAGATCCCAAATTCTTGCATAGTTAGCTATAGAAGAAGCTATATCAATAACAACTACCCTCCTTGCACAGTACGAGAGGCGTAAAGAAAATTTCTTCGAAGAACTTGACTATGTTATTACTGACACTCTTAGGGGAACAGTTGTTGACTTTTTTACCGTTTGGCTTCCTGCCCCAACTTTGTCATTCCTTTCACAAGTTGATGAAATAAGTGTGTCTGATAATATGGATGCCCTAAAAGGTCTACTTGGGTCCATCCCAGATAATGCATTTCAAAAGAATCTTGTTGGAAGGGATTGGAACCTCAGTCACAGATTTGCTTCAGTGTTTGTTGGTGGTTTGAAACTTGCTGGTGTTGGATTTGTTTCCAGCATTGGTGCTGTTGCCTCATCCAATATGTTGTACACTGTACGCAGATTAATCAATCCCGAGTTTGTTACTAAACAACAAACTAAAAGATCACCAATATTTAAAACGGCAATTATTTACGCATTCTTCCTTGGAACATCTGCAAATCTCCGTTATCAGGTATGTGTTGCTTAAGCCTGAAATTTACCAAGCTATCTTCTTAAGACTGAACTTGGTAAGTTATCATCTGTAACATCTCATGATTTCTGGAATTTTCATTACTTGTGTTATGCATGTCTCAGCATTGTTTATAAACATTATAAAGTGTGAAAAAGGGTTGACACTTTAACCTCTTAGTAGTATCTGCAGTTTCTTTGTATTGACATCAAATAAATTGAAATGCAGATTATTGCCGGAATCATAGAGCATCGCTTTTCGGACTTGTTTTCTTCCCAAGCTTTACTTGTAAATATGCTGTCCTTTGTTGCTCGAACAGTTAACTCCTACTGGGGAACTCAGGTAAGAATCATATCTGTTTCAATATATTTGTCCTGGTACCAGCTACTTTTTGTTTAATTCTAGCTGTGCCTGTGTTAAACTTTCTGGGATATAACTAATCTGGTTCTGTTTGTTGCCTAAAATGCTATAGCAATGGGTTGATCTTGCACGCTTTGCTGGACTTCAATCTCGGAAGGATGATACAGCTTCTTATCAAAGTCCAGATTGTCCAAACCATGCTGCAGTACAATGCAACACCTCAGAAGAAACTACTATTGATGATATCGATAATCAATGAGGTCATTGTTAGACTTTACAATGTTATACCTATTTGGTTCGAAAGTTGTTGGGTTGATCTTAATTCTTTATATGCCTCATCCACAAATACACCGTAAATTTCCTCTTTCCCCACATCTTTATCATTCTTAACAAGCCGTGATAAATTTCTTGCAGAATCTATAGACCTCAACAAACAGCTTCCCGTTATTGGCCACGCGGAGGCCCCAGATGAGCTTTTTTGATGTTTCTATAGTAGAGGATGTGAAAGGCAAGGATATACATATATAGAAAATGAAGGGAACAAGGAGGGTTACCCCCAACTTCCAGTTCAGAAAGGATATAGTAAATGCCAATCGATGAATACATGAGATTTTGTTTTGGGACCATTTCACTAATGGATTACACAGATGTTATAGTTATCATTGAATTGATTTATGTGAGTTCCCTTTCTCTTGGTAACTTTTTCCAATCTAAACATTTTGGTGTCTCCTAAAAGCTACTGTTTCATGAGAGAAAATGACACGATTTTTTTTTTTGCATTCTGATAGCTAAGGACTAGACTGAAAAATTATGATTCATGGAATCATATTGATTACAATCCACTGTTTAGGTTTGTGGATAAACATTAATATTTCTCTTGTCAAGCAATTAAAATGAAAATTTATGACTATGGTATGGGGCTTCCACGAAGTGCATGGATGGATTTGCTCTTACTGCAGTAATTATGACTATGTTTTGCAGAGCGTGAAAAGTTGTGTTATCAGCCAAGAAAATTTACATAAATTCAATTCAAATGGTACCTAAAGTTTACCCAGATGTTGATTAAAGCTGCTGTTAGGGAACAATATGCCGTACTAATTATTTTTATTAGAAGAAAACGTCCAAAGGCATGTTTCAGGAATCTGTCGGAAAAAATAGAGATTGGAGACAGTAGTATCCATCATGAGAACCTTTACTAATAATCTGATTTATACAAAGAGCTGAAGAGCAGCGTACAGGACTAACAACAGTATCGATGCATATAATACATTGCTTATATTCACAAATATGGACAGCAACTTAAAAAATATCTATTTTTCCTACGGTATAAAAAAGAATTTGGAAACTGGAATCTTTCTGCAGCTGCAACTGCTACCTACATGCAATATCCAATTGTTAGGTAGCTAAGCCTGTCTGCCATGAATTAATCTAGCTTGATGTACATGTAAGCCTTTCTCTCTCCCATGAACTTTAGCTAGTTATAACCCTGTCTGCCATGAATCCGCGCATGTCATCTTCAAACGTTACGGATGACTTGTTGCTGCAGTATCAAGACTGAACAAGTATTGCAGATGTCTGCGGAAGCAAGCATGTCGCCAACAAGTCCGAGCTCCGGCAACTCGCAGAATTCAGAGAGGCCAAAGGTTACTGGTGAGTGAGTTTCGTGGCGTCTCCCCACCAAAACAAGGTTGTATTCGGAAGCCACTGATTTGATAAAAAGAGAAGTTTCTGCTCCATCTCTCACAACTCTCTCCTCACAAGATATGTTGTCATGCTTGCAATGTCTCAGCATGTCCTTGGTGTACTCTTGATGTAGTATATTCTCCCATACATTGTGGCCGTAGCTGTTGACAGCGACAAATTTGATGATTGTGAGATGAACTGTGGGACACCTGGTGATCCATCGAGCAAATGCAAGTGCCTCTAAATCATCCTTACCTGCCATTGAAAGAATTGCAACACGGTAAACAGATGAGGCTACATAAGGTTTAATGCGGATTTTGCTCCTATCGATATAGATTGCAACAGAGCAAGGAGCCTTGTCCATTACATTAGAGTTGAGAAGCCTGGCAGCATTGTTTTCCATGACAACATTTCCTTTAGCATTCCATTTCTTGTGAAATGGAAGGATTATGAGGGAGACAGAGTGATCAAAAGCGACCCAAGAGATATGTTCATGCATGAGTTTGGAAGGAGAAATTGCAGTGAAGACTTTGACTTGTGCGGATTTGTCATGTTTGGACTTGAATAAAGTGAAGACATCAATGACTGGTTGCCAACGGGAACCTCCAAAAGTAGAGAGTTTTTGACCTAATTGATGATCAAGAATGAGAGGTGTTGATCCTCCTACAAGACTTTCAAGATAGAGACCAATGACAAACAAAGGACTTTCTTTGGTCGGAGCAGTTATATCTAGTAGCTTGGCTGCAGCCAATGCATCATCTTGTCTATGTGCAGAGACAAGAATTCGGAGTCCTTCTGCTTCTGTGGAGTGCACAATGGTTCTTTTCTGGTAGCCCAAGTACTTTTCGGAGGGATCATAGACGCTGCTGATGATCACTGGTATTGCTGTTGCCAGGACAAACACTGTTAAAACTGCTATCGTGAATTGCCCAGATGCCAATGGCTGAGAATCGAGAATATTTGGGCGGTTACTACTGACAATAATAACACTGAAGGTCAATGTTTATTTGGGTTAACGTTTAGAGTGGGAAATCATACCTGCTTATTAAAATTGGTGATGAATACTCCTAACTGGACAATGCTCTGAGCAGAACATATCAAAGAAAGGAGAGCAGCATCCCTTCTAGGCACACGACAACATGATGCAGGAATAAAAGTTGAAAGCAACTTGACTGTAAAACCACAGCTGAGCATAAAAGTGAGAAACATTGGAGGTGAATGCTGCAACTCCCACAAATTTGATCTGAATCCACAGAGAGTCGAAATCAATGGCAATAGTAGCCCTGTAACAATTGTGTCTAATCTCTCTACCAAGACTGATGCCAAAGGAGGTCCTGTAGGCACTATCAATCCAAATATAAAAGGTCCATATAGAAACTGCAACCCGACATTATCACCAATAATTCCCACAAGCATCACCAGAATCACAACCAAGAATACGTAGTTGCTCCTCACCGGCTTCCCTTCCGGTGTTCTTCTGATAATCCAGTACATTGTCGATCTCAAGAATGTCACTATAACAATAATAAGCAACATGGAAAGGAATATGGATTTGAATCCTACCCTTGGAGACACTCCAAAGATTAGCTTCAGATAACTTTCAAGATTGATTAGTACCACAGAGGTTGTGTCACTGACCAAAGCCGATGACAAGGCAAGGTGTCCGAGCTCTGAGTTTATGATCTTCAAATGTGTCAGGAGAAGTGCAACCGCCGGGAATGAGGTGATCATGAGGGTGCCTGAGAAAACCGAGACCCATTCAACTGCAGGTTCTGGATATTTATCAGAAGTTCTGCTTATATCTTTGGCGATTGTCACCATTGTTAACATAGGTACAAGGGTGTTTATGGTGCCTATAACCCATGATTTTGATCCTGATTTTCTCAGCAGGCCTGCATCCATCTTTACTCCAATCAAAAACATGAAGAACAAGTAACCAAATCTCATCAGGGTTGAAAGAATTTTCATGGAGTCTGGCGGGAAAAAGATTGTTGATAATCCAGGAAAGTACTTCCCAATCAAACTTGGTCCTAGAATCATCCCAGCCTGCTCATCAAAAAATCATAAACCAATACCAAATTATTGCTACAAATGGCATGGGCCAAACACTAGTTTCTGCGGCACATTTAATCAAACACTTAATAGAGTCATTAATTCAACCTTCATATACATATATACATATATATATATATATATATGTTTTTTTATTCAACCTCCACGTGCGCACATATGTATGAATGTAAATATAAATGCGAGAATATTCATACGATAATATTAGTTTTACGTACATGCAACAATATATTAGGATCAGAATTTTATGCGAAATGAATCATAAAAAAATGAGATACACACAAATTCAGATAGAAATATAAGATTAAGAAAGGAATTAATTACCAAAATTTCGGCGACAATGCGGGGCAAATGTATGCGTCTGAGAAAAAAATGTATGAAGGAGGTGAGGAAGAAGATGATGGAAATTTGAATGTTTAGACGAACAGATGAATGCTTGAGAATGTTTTCTTTATTTTGCAGCATTTGGTACCAAATTCCATCTGAATAAACTGGTTCAAATTTCCAACATGATCCATCCATCCGGTATTCTGGATCCAATTCATCCGCGATTGAACCCGTAGTGTTCATGGATACAATTCTTGTTTTAAATTGAAAAAAAGAAAGAAAATTTGTCGAAAAGAACAGAAAAACGGTGGGAAATGGAGATCATAATTTAATTGGGATTTGATGGAGGAAGACCTTTGCCTATTTAGTTTTTGGGTTTTTTTTTTTTTTTTGTTCATATATTTCGAAATAATATTACTTTAACCTATGAGAATGCTCTTATATAGATTTGATGCTTTTGGGCACAAAAATGGACTTCCATTGCTTATTGTATTATTTGTCATTGGTTATTATGGTATAAGTTTTTTGAACAATATTTATATTCTTTTGTATTTATTAATTTTATTTACGACTAATATTTTTATAAAATTTAATTTATCATTAATAAATTAAACTAATTTTTTCACTAAAATAAAAAAATGATATATATTTTTTTTATTTTCTTGATTGATCCAAAAAAAAAAAAACATCGGTTTAACTTTATTTCAATATATTAAATTTTAAAAATATTACATAAATTGAAAAACTATAAATTTTTAGATAACTAGGAAATGACTACTTGTATGTATATGTACACCCACATTCCTTTAAAATTTTATGAAATTATTTAATAAAAATTTCTTCTAAGCATTATACAATATTCTCTTAGGATTTAAACCAAATAAGATAATATTTTTCTATAATTTTCAAATCTAAAATTATTTTTTTTATATTACTTGATAATCTTATATAACTATTCATAATATGTATTTATTAGATAGTAAAAATTTAAGTTGATTGTCATCCGCAATCAATGTTAACATATTAGTACTAAATTTATTCTATCAAAAATAATATATGAGTCTTTTTGTGATCGTACTCCTATAAAAAATTTTAAATACCTAATATTTTCAAGTGACTCTCTATTATAAATCGGAGGATTTTAAGTAAAATATTAAGTTTCTGCTTGTCATTATACGTAATTTTAATAAACGTAAATTTGATCTTAATCAATTCTATAATGTAACTACTGACTCATTCAAACAATGTATTTATTCTTGCATGATGATAGTTAATATCTAAATAATTTTGGAGCCAACATATCTTATTGGTTATTAATTTAGATTTTAAAATTATTATTACTTACGTCTCGAATCCTCTAAACATTCACTTATTTAAAAAGTTAAAATTTGAGAAATTTTGTATTTACTAAAATGATAATTATAAATTGATGCATCATAACCAAACATGTTTTAATTAAAAAAAAAAACATTTAGTTCTCGTTTTGAACGTTTTAACTAATTTTTGCAGATTAAAAATTAAAAAATATATATATATATAACCGACCCTAAATTATTTATTTTTAGAATATGGAAGTCGTGAACTTTTTTTTTTTTTAAAAAAAGAAAAAGAAATATCGTTATTGTATTAACGAAGGGTTGTAATTTTGTTTTTTAATTTTCTTAATTATTAATCAATTAATTGTGTTCGTAGTTTGGCGTGTCTGCCATTGACAGCGGAGTGACACCCACGTGAATAAAGGATTAGAACAATTACGTGTCATCTACTAACTTTTGGATAACGACAAAATCCTATCGTCACCCTACACGTGTCTCAATCTCCATCCCCCTCTAAAAAATCTGTGCGCTCATCAGAAGCTTCTCTTTTCTTCTTTCTTAAAAACAAAAAACCGACAATGTAATCAGTACTGTGCTTTAAATTTGGGCCCCACCAAAAGATAACAACCTGGGCCCTACTCCTCTTTGTTAAAAACGACACCGTTTAGCTCGGTTCGTGAATGTACATTATATTTTCATTTGAGATTTGAAATTATTTAATTCTTGATAGCCAAAATCTCAATTAGGATTCTAAATCCTATATTTATTTTATAAAATTTAAGACGATAAAATGCGAAAAGAGGAAAAAGCACGGTGGCATATTCGTAATAAAAAGTAAAATGAAGGCCAATTCGTAAGATCATCTGCTATATATCGAGCAGAATACCACTCGTCGTTCTTATCCAAATCTTTGTTTTCTACCTTAAAAGATTCTCTTTTTCTGTGTGGCAATGGAGGTAATTTCCAGCAGATCGACGTTGAATCCCAATGCTCCGATGTTCGTACCGCTAGCTTATCGAACGGTTGAGGATTTCTCCGATCAGTGGTGGGCTCTCGTTCAATCGTCCCCTTGGTTCCGCGACTACTGGCTCCAGGAAAGATTCCAGGATCCCCAAAACGACCCTTTCTCCGATATTTACGATCCTGTCCTCCCGGACTTTGACGCTCTCTTCGACGAAGACGACGACGTTTTCTTCGAAAACATGGAGATGGAGCTCCGCGGTACTCCGAAAGGTAAGTGAAGTGAAAAGGCGTGAAATTAACCTAACCTTTTTTTTTTTTTAAATCTCTGAGTCATCTCGTCCGAGTCGCTAGGCCAACTCAGTCTTTCCATTTTTCAGTTGCGGAGGAGGAGGAGGAGGAGGTGATGCGGAAGCAGTTGGTTGCAGCCGGAGCTTTAAAGTGGGGTAAGGATCGCAGTCATGGGAACGCGCCGAGGTTCGCAGAGAAGGCGCCTAAGATCGTGAGCGGGAAAGTGAGTCCTAGGATGATACAACAACCGAGGTGATTCACTGAGTTGAGTCGGTGTTTTGGCGGTTGGTTGATCGAGTTGCTTCTTCTTCGTCTGTACATAAAACCCTAAAACGAGGGGGAAAAAGAAAAAAAAAAAAAAAAAAAAAAAAAGGAGAGAAATCCGTGTTTTTCATTTAATCTTTTTAGATGCATCTCTGTAATTTCATCAGTAAATTTAGGTCCCTTTAACTTTAGTGTTACTAATAAAGCTTCGAATTTTCAGAATTCAGGTAGTTATGTTCTTCGTTGTTAATTAGTTTGGTTACAATCGAGAATTGGAAATTTGGGAGATTACAGAAAGTGATTAATTAAGAATTGGGGAATTACAAAAGAAGCTTTTAAGTGGAAGCAGTGATTGGTTCATTATCTGCCCAATTACTTGCTGTTTTCCCAATTTTCTGAAGAACCCTAATGACTTGGTCGGTTGTAACGTTGCCAGTGACAGTCACCTTGTTCAGCTTCGTGTCAACGTTGTATGCCTCAATATCTGCTCATTGGAAACAAATAACAAAACAGACACAGATTTTAAGAAAATTACAACTAAACCCAATGATAACTAGCAAGATTTTCTTTATGTGATACAAAATCAATATTTAGATAGAGAAGAAATTACCTTGTATTTTCTTGATGGCTTTCAAGATTTTCTTGATGCATTCTTCACAGTGCAAACCCACTTTCAATTCCACCATCTGTTGCAAAATTGAAGAAGAAGTAATTTAATCTAGAGGTGAAATCTCCCAAACTCTCTTTTTACTGAATTAGACTGGAGATATATGTACATGTATATGCGTACTAATATGTATGTGTACTTACACTGGACATTTTAGTTGATTGATCTTGAAGTGGCAAAACCTGTTACTAGTAGCAGAAGAGAAGAAGAAAAAGAAAGAAGGGAAATTTTGGGTGTTTGGAGACAAGACGAGAAAACAACTATGATATATATATATATATATGTATATATTGGAATTTGATTCTTTGCTTCAAGAGGAGGAATTCTACTTTTGTTAAAAAGCTAGCTTTATTTTCTACGGACAAAAACAAAAGAAAAGCTAACTTTAAGATTCCCTTTCGTGCTCACTTTTAGGCCTTACTCAAAGGCACTTTTGCTAGTGGGACGTGCCGACCTTACCAGTCCAAAAATTTCTGATAGGCCTTAAAATAGCCCAACCCAAGACGGACTTCTCATGAGAAATAAATGATTACGGAATGCAAGAAAATAAGTTTATTAATTATAAGTCTGAATTTATTAAAAAGGTTATAAAAATTTCTCAATCCAATACAACAAGCAATAATTAATTGATAACTCATATATATTATATACATGCAGCCCAGTTGCATACATGCCCGTATACATCTTCCCTAAAGAACGTACATGTTTTATTTCCCCAATTTGAACCATATATATATATATATATATATATATATATTTAATTAAAAAAAAACAAACAAACACATATATATGTGACACTGACTCTCAATAATTCACCCTCCTGCAATTCTTCCTGATCTCCCCGTCTGATCCAGTGAGAACCCCGATGTCTCCCATCTTGATCATGGCAGCGGCGAAATCAGAGGCGAAGGTGCTGGGTTCGTAGCTGTAGGTGAGCACTATGGAATCAGTGGGTCCAGCGCCATGGTTGTAGAGTTGCTGGTCAGAGTGGAGTAAACCCTTATTGTTGACCAGGTTCTTGAAGAAGCTGTTGTCAAAAACTCCCGGAGTCTGATAATCAACCGGCGCCAGATTGTTGTTTCCGGTCATGTTAGATCTCGGACACCTGCATCGCCTTGTTCTTGAGAAGGACATGTCGATGTTGGGTTCGTTGTAGATTCGAGCTCTGTAGTTTCTGCACCTTGCTCGTCCAATTGTATGACCTCCTGATCAAACCAACATATACATATATATATATATATACATATAGAGAGAGGGAGAGAGAAAAGGTTTGTGTGTGTGTATGTGTGTGTGTGTGTGTGTGTGTGTAAGAAAGAGAGAGAGAGAGACCAGTAAGGGCAACCATGTCCGTGATGGAAAGGCCACGAGAAGTGAAGCTAGAGATGAGTTGAGTAAGGTTGGAGGTTGGAGGAGGAATGCTGGTATTTGCAGCAGCTTGGCTTGCACTCATTGCATCTCTTCTTCCAAGTTTTACATCCCAGTATGGGCCTCCAAGCTATAACAACAATATTATCATCATACATATACATATACGTATATTACATATATATAAAATATAACATCATGAATTAATGATGGGAATTCAATCATAGCAATAATTGAACCAATTTTTGTTAGATGGGATTTCAATGTTATATACGTAATGACCTGTCTTTGCTTGTATATAGCAATATATTGAATTGAATACATAAATTAAAAATAAATATGCTATAAGAATGAAAGTTTGAAGATGATAATAAATGCCACTCACAATAGTAACTGCATCTCTCGCAGCAATTGCTAAAATATCAGCACAAGAAACAACACCAGGGCACATATTTTCTACCTCATCCTTGATATTGTCAATTACATAAAATCCACGAGCAGAACCACGATTCGGGCTTGCTTTTTTTTCTCCGATAAAGGTGGGAGTATCATCAAACAGATTCGAGGCATCGCATCCCTGTGATCACCATGAATGATAGCTAATACAAACATAATAATTTAACAAAACTATTTAAACCTAAGCTCTTATAACATATATATAAAGTAGGACAACAGTAGATAAGTATTGGAGAGAAGAAAAGATGGTTACTTTGACGAAGCAGTCATGGAAGAACAATCGAAGAATGGAGGCACCTAATCGGCCTTCTCTGTTAATTGCGGCTTCCATGGTGGATTTCACTGTGGGGAAGAGTTCAGGACAAGAATGGGAGTAGAAATCTGGTGAAAGCTGAGCATAAATGCTTCTGCTACCCACCAAAACAATAAGAATTAATGACATGCAATATCTGGTGAAAATCAACAGAGAAGCCGCCATTGATGACATATAATATCTTTGTATATAGAGAATCAGTAGGGTGAATATTATATTGCAGAAATGGGCTTATACATATATGTGTATGTATCACTCTCAGCTTGTGTTGATGAGAACATTTGAGGGAAGAAGATCAATATATATAGAGATGTTTTCATCATGAGACTGATGATTAATAATATAACATCATTATTAAAACATGAAGAATCTTCTTCTGCATGCATGGCATTTTTGCACGTAAACGATTATAAATAGAAAGACACGTAATTAACAAGAAAACCGTGAATTCATGTGTTAAGAAAGCAATTTAAGTTAATTATTTTATTTTCCTGGGTTATTAAGTAATTATAAATAAAGTAAAGTTTTCATTCCTTTAATTTTCTCGAGAAAAAGATGAAGAAAAATTTTAGAAGACGATAAGGTTCGAAAAGGTGTAAATTTGGTGTGGTGTCATATGGTTGCTGGTTTTAGCCTTTGCTTCTACTCATGTCTTCCATGATTATTGACTTCTTTTTTTGTTAAAAATGTGATATACTTATCTTTCCACTCAATCATACATTGTTTATATCGATGTTTCAATTCAATTATATATATATATATATATATTAAAACAATTGGAAGGTTAAATAATTTTTTAATTATATATAAATGCTTTTCTTTTTATTATTTTTTAACCTAAAAAATTTAAGTAATATTTTTAATTGAATAACTAAATTATTATTCTAATAAGTTGGGATTAAATTCAAAACTAAGCCTTATGAATAAGAAGGAAGAAACCAGAAAGATAATGTTTATCTCATTGGTTATATAATAATGCTTTGATTTAGTAAAAAGTATAAAAAAAAAAAAAAAAAACTTAGAATATGATATAAATTTAAACAAATATGATATTATAATTTCACAAGTCAATTCTATTCTTAAAAAATGAAAATAAAAATTTATTACTGTGGAATTAATGATATGAATTTAATTATGCATTAAATATACAATAATGACATGATTTATGTAGTTATATATATATGTAGTAAATGGGAATTTAATTGATTATTGATTCCCTTCACCTATATGTTTACACTTAAGGAGGAAATTCTCTAGTAAATTACTTTATAAAAATTAATTTGAAGGAAAATTTCATTGTCACAAAGAAGAATTTACCTACCACACACTATGCAATTACCTTTTAGTAATGTTGAAAACTCAAAAAACTTTTCAAAATTTGAGTTGGGATCTTTCAATTTTCCAAGAACTTTTCATCATTTCCAACTTTGTTTTTTCCCACTGACCAAACAGGACTTGTTGACTAATGAGCGAGTAACACAAACCCATCACGCGTTCAAACCAAGCTACATATATACAACTCTTTCACTTTCACTATTGCTACCCAATTAGAAAAAGCCACGTGTCAACCTCTCAGGAAATCTCTCTTTTACGCCGCTGGATTCCTTTCCTTCACCAATAAAAATCTAAACTTTTTCTTCTCCAAAACAAGTTTCCATTTGGAGCTTTCCTTCTCGCAGGCTCCATCCTCTGTTATTGAACTCCAACCAGAGAGTAGCTCAACAAATAAGCATCTGATAAAGAAATCAATATGGGTAATGTTCTTCGGTTTCTTTATGGAAAATGCTGTAGACCCACAACCTCCGATGAATCGCTTGGACCCCATGGTGTATCAGCTTCCACTGTTGGTGTTTCAGCCCTTGCCCGTGATCTCTTTCAATTCGAAATCACGTCGCAGGTCTTGATCTCTCCAAGTTATCACCATTAATGTTATAATGCATCCCTGCTTTTGATTTTCCTTGGGTTAATTTGGTTTCTTTACGGCCTTTATGGTTGATTTTCCCGTTGCATGAACAACCAGTTATGGGTTAGTTTCTGTAATTTATGGATTTTGTTTTGCTAAATAAGTTGCTTTTATTAGATTTTTTTTAGGAATTTATTGGGTAATTTAAAGCTAATTATGTTATTACTGCCATGATCGAAGCTCACTTTATATATAGATTACCCCTTCCATTTTCAAGCTTATATAGTGATTTCTTTACTTAAGGTCACAAGTAATTGGGGTTTATGAGGTTTCTCGGGAAAAATCAGAACGTTTTGTTAAATTTTCTTCAAAAGGAAATAATCGGAAAGTCAATTTTCTGCAGGTTCCCGAGGGACTTAGCAGACATGTTGTGTCCTCTAAGAAGGCTCAGGCTAACTGGTAAAATTATTGTTGTATAACTTCCCGGCACTATTGAATTTCACTGAGCAATTACTCGTATTCTGCTTAATTTTATGAATTTTTTTTATTAACATTAATGTGTTCTGTCCAAAATTTTGAAGGTATAGAAAACTGGTAGAGGCATGGAGAGAATCAAAACCACCTCCGCGAACACCTGAAGAAGCTGCTAGGCTTGTTATTGGCACCTTGAAGAGGCACCAGAAGGCAGATATTGAGGTACACAAAAATTTTGAGATTGCATAGAGAGGTATATAATGCAGGTTTCTTCACTGTTGAAAAAATTTGCAGGGATTGTTGACTTTCTATGGTCTCCCTCTTCCCCATACCCTAGTTGAACTCTCTACAGTGGTTCCTACATCATTGCCAGAAGAAGTGCAGTTCGAGTTGCAGACTCTTCCGGTAAGAATATTTCGTTTTGAACTCAGAATCACCATAGCCATTTAGTCATGTTTTGAACTCAGCCCACATTTTAATGAAACCAGGTTGATGCAAAGGCTGTAGCAGATGGAGATACAATCACTGTGTATGTCAGCACTGCAGATTCCAGAGAATCGACTATCGTTCCTAGTAACGTGCAGTTGGCAGCTGTTGAAAGAACAAGAGCAAGAGCAGCCAAGAACTATGCAAAAGCAGACATGATTCATAAGGAGATTATCGAATCTGGATACCGGTTGGTTTTCCTTCAGTTTCTCACATGAATTCCTTCAACAAGTTGTGTAATTCATACTAGTGATCTACCTTGAGCTGCTAATTTGCAGGGTGTTAAATCTCCAAAATGAAGAGATCCTTGCAAGAAAGTATAGGATTCGACTACGGTAAAGTATTTACTTACAAAGGACTCTACTAGTTGTATCTTGGGTGCAATAACAAAAAGTTGCCAATGTTCCTGATGGATTCTTGGTGAACAAACAGAGGAATTGATGCCCCGGAGAGTTCAATGCCATATGGAAAAGAGGCTAAGGAGGAGCTAACTAAGATTGTTCAAGGGAAGTGTTTGAGAGTTCTGGTTTATGGGCAAGATCGATATGGTCGATGTGTGGGTGATATCTACTGTAATAAAGTGTTTGCACAGGTAACCTAACATTAGATTTTCTGGAAAACTCTAACATGACTTGGTGGGAAATCTGGAGTTTACCTTGCTCCTCGTTCTCATAAATTTTCTCTGTTAATAGGAAGCAATGCTGAAGAAAGGTTGTGCATGGCATTACACAGCCTATGATCAGAGGACTGCACTTGCAACAGTAAGCAACTAACGATACTTCTCCAATCCAAACAATTCAACACATGAGCATAAAAGGTTTATTTTCTAACTCTGAATATATGTTACCAGTGGGAAAAAGAGGCTCGGGCAAAGCGAGTTGGCTTGTGGGCTTTGTCAAATCCTGAGAAGCCATGGGAATGGAGAAAGGCAAGACGAGAATGCAGATGATATCTTCTGAAGTTTTAGCTTCTTGGTATATGATGATGAAGTAATTGAGTCGTTGTATAAAGAACATAACCAAAAGGAAGGTATGACAATAGGACATTTGTAACACATTTATCATTGTATTAAAATGATTTGAAAATCTTATTTATTCGGTTCTTTAACCGCGTTAAATTTAATTAAATTACACTAAATATTTATCATAATTCGTAATTTTTGTTGATTTTTATTTATTTAATTTTTAATTTAATTTAATTTATTTTATTCTAATTTATTTAGATTAAATATAAAAATTGAAAAAAAAATTAAAAAACGACGAATTGGGAAGAAAATCTTGCTATGAGTCTAGTTGCTTGCACGGGTGCTAGGCACTGTGCACGCGCGTATGCGCGTACATCCCCTCCGCATGCATGCACAGTGCGCACGTTCCCTCCACACGCACGCACAGTGTGCACGTCCCATCCGCAAGCACGCATGCATGGGACGTGCGCACACGTCCCTTTCGCGCGCACGGCGCGGGGTTAGGACAGGATATGCGCAAGAGGGCCGTCTGCGCGTCACCTTGCGCACGAACAGGCGCTGCACACTGTGCGCGCGTTGTCTGCATAGTAGGCCTGCATGAATAGGCCCTGTGCATCTGGGGCTTGCGCGCAGTAGCCCTGCACGTGCGACTAGGCCTTACGTGTGCAATAGGAGGCCTGTGCGCCTGTATGCTAGCCTGCAGTGCGCACCCCCGGGTGGGAGGAGGCCCTCCTCCTCCTTTGTTTTTCATGCCGAGCATCTTTTTCTCCTCTTTCTTCATCGGATTTTGTCACTTGGCGCGAATCCGACGGTTCTAAACTTTATAAATTGTCCTCTCCCTTCCCTTCTCTCTATACTTTCATTATTCCATTTTTCAAAGTTAAGAGAGAGTGTGTGAGAATAGTAGTCCAGTG